AACGGATAGAGAATTGATGAAGTTAACTGAATTATTTCGACAAGGAGCATCGCAGAAGATTCTATCTCAATTATCATTTGTTCTATTTCATGCCAAAAGAGTTTATTACAATCGATTGTTTAATGTTCTTGAATAAATATAGGCAATAATTTCGTATAATCAAGAAGACGAAACTATTCACTGTAGACTACAGCTAATAATTTTGATAATGCATGTAATAATCGAAAATCAAATTCAATCAGGAAAATCTTAATAACTGAAATTCCATGTATTACAATATTCATTGGTACTGTACTAGACAATCTTTATACACATATCGACATTTAGTGGGAAAGGAATCCAACAATTGAACAATCGATACTTGAAATTGACTTGATGAATTGAAACTTTTTGATAATCAAGATTACTGTTTATAATAAAACTCATTGTAAAAAACAAGGCCGCAAAAAAGCCATTTTTGATTCATCTTGAAAGAGTCTATACGTATTTTGTTCAAAATATTGACGCTTTTCGGTTTTCTTTAGAGATGTTTTTTGTTATTTAGGAGAACTTGAATTTCGTTTAGACACTATTTCTTACATTTTTTTAAACTGATATTTAACTAATTTCAATCAGAAAAATGATTCTCAGAAGTGTGGCTGAAGACTTCCTCCCTATGAGGATTCAACAAAAAAGTGAATATAAGCAAAGCACTATTTTTATTGTTTAGTTATCTGCTCTTTTATCTTCTAATAATATTTGACGAACTTAGGACATGTATTCTACTGTTGAAATGGTTTTCTAATTAAATTCATTTTTTGCACTGATTCCGAATATGTTATTAGATTTGTCTGAAATTCTAGTTTTTCGGATTTAAATCTATGGAATACCAGTCAAAAATACAAGAAATGATGTGTAAACAAAAGTCAAGTTCTCCTAAGTAACAAAGACTATCTCTAAAAAAATCGAAAACTTTGTCGTTTTGTAGTCACTTTTTCGAGCTTTTAGAATCAATCAAAAATCTATATGGTTTCTTTTCTTTCTCGAGGTATTGCGAAAATAGTAAGCAGAAATGCTTAGAGAACTATATGACTTTCATACTCATTTCGAACACCTTTTATTAGAGAGATAGGTAGTGTTTTGTACACTAATGTTTGATATATCTATGTGAGAATTATACATTTATGGTGCAAAAATAAGAATCAATATTTTGAGTAAAAGTGCGTGTGGACTTTTCATAAGTAACTTTGTTTTGTTACCAAAAGATTCCTCGTGAAATTCTGCATTAGGTAAGTAATGATCAAAGGAAAACTAATGATAACTCAAAAATAATTTTTATGCGTCTCTCTCTCTTTTCAACTCAATACACTTTAATTTCTTCGAGAAAACTCAGATTTACAATCAAAATTAGAAATTTTCCTTATAACTTAAAAAATTGATAATTCCAATTGTTTTTCAAAAGATGCACTATTGAATATTCTTCTCAAATCACAAGACCCGTTCTTTATAGCTATTTTTGAAATTTTAATAGACTATTAACAGTGAACACATGTACGATCGTGTCATTTCTCACAAGGAAAAATCGAAAAGTTCATTTTTTTTTAATCAGATCAATGTTACATAAAATGGACTCTTTCAGGTGTTGTAAAAATCACAATGTTCATCATTCCACCAATACTTCCTACGATATCAGTACTGGTTTCTCTTCAACGTATTTTGATCATCTTCGATTCAAGTCAAATTCTCATTGTATTATTTTCCTAAGCTTAACTCTTTCTGTTTACTGTTTTTTTTAACGGTTGAAGAAGTTTAATCTAGTGATTTGTGTGTCAAATTCACTGTTTTTAGACGATGTATTTGAGAGCAATGCGGCGAAAATCGTTTTATTTCAGGAAGAATCATTCAGATCAATTGATAAAGACGTTATTTTCCACTTATATTCAATATAAAGATGAGTAATAATCCTCATGCTTTGAACACTATATTAGGTCTCTGATTGGTTCCAAAAATTATAGCTAAAATGAATGAAGAATAATTATCAAAACCAAAATTGACCAATTTTCGATTTTCTCTTATTTTTCTTTTTGTAGGAAACAGTACTATGATATATGTGTTCAGTATTAGCAATCTATTAAAATTTGGAATAGAGATTTAATCTTGTGATCCAAGTAGAACATTCAATGGCGTATCTTTAGAAAAAAAAGAGATCAAGGTATTATCATATTCCTGAACAGTGTTACGTGCAAAACTTTTGCCACACTGATTATAAAGATAACTAATATACTTCGACAAATCATTCAATCATTGGGATATGTTCAACACTGACAATAGTTGTTAGTGCAATTCATGCTGGATTATAATGTGAAACACGATATAAGTGCTCTTAGTAATTATAGAGAGATGAATTTATTTCATCTATTTTGGGACACACTGCCTCATGATCTATTTTAATCAGTCCTTCAGAAATTCAATAAGAAAGTAGTTCATATATAATAATGAGACATTATTAGATAGATCGTCTTTGATCGTATATCAACAACGTCTATGACGAAGAGTGAGAACTTTGCTAAGACATCTGTCATGATCTGTGAGGGCAAGAGGTGCAAATCTCTACCTTATATACTTCAACACTCCTATTTTGATCGCGTTTCATACAGCTGTTTGTATTTGTATTTCTAATATTTGACATCAGTTCTGTTACAGGTTCACTGAGTGCTAAAGAACAAGCACAATTATTAAGAAAACAATATCGTCAACTATACAAGCATCATTATCAATCCCTCAAAAAAAAAGACAAATGTCTTTATTTTACATTTCCTATTACTTATCCATGTCCAATGAAATTCAAACAAAAGCGATCATCTATCATTAGTAATTCTTCGAAAACTTCTCGGTTATCATCATTTTCTTTTCAACAATCATTACAAAAAAAATTGAATAATCAATATTCAAATACTATGAATCGATTAAAATCAGCTGTTAGTATATCATTTATTGATGATAAAAATGATGATATATCAATAAATAAAATTTCTCAAAAAAATCATTCATCATCATTACTTAATATTCCATCGAAAAATCTATCGACTAATAAATTTCATTCATTAAATGCATATTTAGAAAAACATTCATGTCAATTATGTGGTTCAATATTGTCGAATGGTATATGTTCGTGTATTGTTCAATATTTACTAAAATTAAATAAGACTAAAGAAAATGATATACTCGTTCAACTCAATGGCATATTTGAGAATCTTACAAGTAACAATATAATCACGTAACATAAAACAACTAAAGAAAGAAATAAAGAAAGAAAGAAATAGTCTTTAATTTTTTTTGGCTCGGTAAGAAAAAAAAATGAAATAAGAACAATTATTTTTAAATTACAATAGACAACAAATTTTTGTACGTTTTTCTTTTGTTTGATTTAATGAAGTTGGTGGATGAGGATTAATAACAACAACAGCTGGATCTTCACCATTACCGAGCAAACCAGTTGCACTTCCTTGAGATGTTGGAAGAGGAAATAGCTTTGCTATTGGTGCATTGCTTACGGTTGGACCACCTGTACTTATTCCACCATCAGCAGTAAAACTAGGTTTTTTAGTTCGACCACGTTGTTTTTTCTTGAAAAATTCTTTACTTTGTGATTTACTCATTGGATCGGGCTATAAGAGAAAATAAAAATGAAAAATAAAAATTAACAATTTTAAATATTGAAACTAATAGAATTCAGAAAACGACGAAAACAAAACAGAAAAAAAAACCAAAACTTCTAAATAATATCGCTCTGTCGATCAAGATCATGTGTAGGTATTGGATTTTGTGATATACATGGAATTGTCAATGGCTTATATTGTGATTCAAAACAAGATGAACTATGTCGTTTAACAAGACCATGTTTTTGTTCATATATAAATGAATTTTTAATTCCTATTGATGGACTAAGTTTTGAACGTGATGATGACGATGTTGTTGATAATTTATTTATTCCAGAAGATTTTGCATATGCACATTGATGATAAGATATATGTTGATAAATTTTATGTGTTTGAAGTGAATGTAATGATGATTTTATACCAGTACCAGTTCCACCACCTGTACAACTACTAACTGAATCTCTTAAATGTATATTTGCATGTTGTAATTGATGAAAAAAATGTGAACCACCACCACCACCATTTGAATAACTTAATTCACTTTGACGTCTTGATTCAACTGATGCCCAACTAAAATATCTTAGTCGAAATAATTTAAATAAACATTCATAAGAAAATTTTCTTAATTCACGACGAAATAATTCTCCTGTAAATGTATATAAATAAAATCCACAACCATGATCAAGATATAATAAAAATCTCATAATACCATCTAATAAAATTAAATATTTTTTATCATAAGTTAAATATGGTTCAATAACAGAAAAAACTCGTAATGGAAATGTTAATAATAAAAAAAGAAATGTTGATACAAATAATATATATGCTAATTGTGTATCACGTGGTGAACGTGTTTGTCTTATACCTAATTGTTTCATATAAATATGTGATTTACAAACAGAATGCATAACACTTGTATTTGCAATTAAAATAATAATAAATGGTATTAAAGAATTTATTAAAAAATCCATCCATGAAAAATAATATATTAAAAAATATTCATAATTTTCTTTTGATGTTCGAATTAAATTTGAACTACACATAGCTAATAATTTATATTCAGATTCATTATTTATAAAATTATTATTTCGTTCTTGTTTTGAACCAAAAAATATTAAATAATGTATATTAAGAAAAAATAATATAATATACATTATAATTAATGTACAATATGAATGTTTACGACTAAAAACATTTTTATTCCAAATATAACGTTTTGTTACAGCAGCACGTTCAAGTGATATAACACATAATATCCATACAGCACAATGAGAAAAATAACTCGTAATAAATTTATATGTTCGACATATATATAATGAACGTTGTAAAAAATGTGATTGAAATGTATAACGTATTATAAGACGTATACAATTTAATGTGATCAATACTAAATCCTAAAAATGACTAAATTAATTAATATGCATTTGAAAAATAAAAATAAAAAAAACTTTTTTTTTTGTTTTTGTTTTTTATTTACCATAAAACTTTCAGCAACAAATAATATTGAACAACCAAATTTTTGAAATTTTTTTCGTGTAAATATAAGTATTGTTAATAATGAACCAATAAAACCAAATGGTAATAATAACCAAGGATATATACGATGAAAATTTAGATTAAATTGAATTATTGAATCATTGGACATATTTGATGATATTGAATAAAGATTATAATATTCAAAATATTCGATATTCATTGTATCCTCTTTTTCTGTGTGTGTGTGTGTGTGTGTGTGTGTGTGTGTGTTTTATATCTAATTCTATATCTAGATTAGTTTTGAGATCTCAGTTTTGTTTTTGAATAAAAAAAAAAAAGAAAATAAGAGAAAACTATTGTCGTTCTCCACAATTCTGTATTCAAGAGGTACTTGCTTTGCTTAATCCTATTTTAACTTAATCGACAACTTCCTACTAGATTGAACATTTCTCTATTAGACATACAATATTGAGTTTTGTCTAATTATCTCATTTTATTTTCTTCTTGTTTTTCCGGACAGAAAATAAAGATGAGCAAATATTCGAATAAACAACAATGAAAGAAAAAAATAAGAGCAAAATAAAAAAAGTGAGAAATGCATACACCTACAAATAGTGTTAATCGTAACGGAAAATAAATCTCAGACAAAATGATTTTTGATAGAAAAACGTGTCCTTTTTTCTTGAGAAAAAAACTTCGATTGACATTCAAAAAAAAATAACAAGCGTCGATCTAGTACGACATCAATGCCATCATGTCCTACTTAATTGCCGAGTAATAATAAGTCAACACAAACATACATGAGTATATGAACACGTCTTTTGTCTTTTCTTATATATTCTACGCTATATGCTGTCATTGTCAATGGCTATGTCCTTATTTTTTCTTTTTTGTCTACAAGGCATTTTTTTTTTGTGTTGTTCTAATTAATGTCTTTCTTGTTTTTTATCAATCGATTAATATTGTTCGTCCATCCAAAAGACGTAGAAAAGAATGAAATATGTTAGTTATTGATATTCTCGACATGTAACTGATTAGTTTCCGATTAAATATTTGACGGATGAAATTGTTTAATTTCATGCTGAGAAAAGTTTCTTTTTTTTTTCTGTTTTGTTTTGTTTTGTTTCTAACTATATATAACAAATGAATAAAATAAGAAAACACAAAACTTACTAAAATAGTATCACAAGGTTGATCATTTTTTGAATTTTGTCGACAATCAGACAACAATGTTGAATCTTTTGGATATAATAAAGGTTTCGGTTTTATTGGTAGCAAAATATTATTTGGATCGGAAAACACTGAAGAAAATTAGAAAAGAAAAACCCAAAAATAAGATTTTTTTTCTTTTTAATTATTAGTAATTGAACATGACAACATACTTTGACTGTAACGTTCTGACACTTTCGATGTATCACTGGACGGGATATTAAAAAGACTTAACATAGCAACACAACATGTATTCTGTAGAATTGCTGCATAACGTGCTAAAAAATAATAAAAATAAAAAAATATGAAAAGATATGAAATTCATTTATTTAATTATCTATACCTCCAGTTTGTGAAACGAGTAATTTCACAAGAATATGATTGAAATAAAATGCAGCTAGATGAATACCAGTCATTGTTGACCAAGCTGAAAGAAGTCCATCTTGTGAAGCTTAAAATGAAATACAAATAATAATAATAATAATAATAATAACAAAAAAAAAAAAGAACAAAATTTAAATTAAAATATATTTTACCAGTTATAACAATGTGACTATCAATAGTAAACGAGACAGAAACGATCGTATTTTTATGTCTAATAAGTTTATGTACAACAGCACCTATAAAAATAATCGAACATTTATTTATACAAATCAACATTATTCAATTTCTTTAAAAAACAAACAAAGAAAATTTTATTTAATTATCTTATAATCAATAAAAAAGTGCTTAAAGATATGAAAAAAAAACAATATATTTCTTAACGGATATGATGAGTTTTTTTTGCGCCCTATTATTAACTCAGTCAGTTCATTTTTAACTAACTGTTGTAGTACATAATTACAAAGTTTAATGAATAGAATACTAAAAAGATATAATAAACTTTTATAGGTACATTACTCAACATTAGAACAAAATCCATTATATGTCTTATTTTAAGATAAACATATGATCAAAGTTCAACTTGAAAAGCTATAATTTATTAAATATCAGAAAAACTTGTCAGAACAATTCTTGATAAACATAAAATAGAAATTTCTAATATTATCCGTAGAATAAAACAAACAGATATATCTTTGAATCGAATTCGTCGTTCACTCTACTCATTCTATCATAGGACAATTTAGAAACACATAATAATCATAACTATTATCGATTGTTCTCTCTTCATCTATATTATTTTCATGAGGGGGAAGATAGAAAATTAAATATCGAATTTAAAGTTTTCATTGTAAACGATAGAAAAAGAAAAGAAATCATTCACCATCTTTAAATGACCATATAATAGCATGACCATCTTTGTCACCAGTAAGAACATGTTTTCCATCTTCACTAATTGCAACAGCTGTAATCGATTGTTCATGTTCAACAAGAACCTTAAAAAAAAGAAAATTATAATTGATTATCTTTGTTTTACAAATTTCTAATTTACTTGTGTCAATTTTCCTGATGATAATTCCCATAATTTACAACTACAATCTTCTCCACCAGTAATTAAATATTGTGAATCAGCTCGAAATGCTATACAAGTTATTTTTCCTTCTGTATGATCTATTGAACGAACAACACGTGCATCATCCAAAGACCAAATTTTTAAACTAAATTTGATTTTTGAACAACAAAAAAAACAAATTTCAACTAAATTATTAAGAAAAAGAAAAGCATTGCCTTACATATGATCTCCATTTCCTGATACAACATATTTTCCATCAGGAGAAACACCAAGCATTTTACAAGATACATTATACTAAAAAAAACGAAAGTCAGAATAATAAATCATTATACATTAACATAATATTTTATTTACTGAATCAATTAATTCTCCTGTATTTGCCCACCATGTTTTAATATAATTTTGTTCATCACTGGATAAAATCTTTCGATTATCTTCTAATATACGTACATGTGAGATTGGTGCTGAATGAGCCTAATTAAATAAAAAAACAAGAAAGAAAAAATATTTATATAATCATTAATAATATTCATACAGTAAATTCTGTAATAATTTCTCCCATTTCATTATCATAAACTTTAATCGTTGTATCTTTAGAACCTGATAATGAAAATAAATATGAATGTGAAAGTGCAACTTGTGTAACAGCTCCACGATGATCAGTAATATGTGCAGTAAATTCCCCATCAACTAAATTAAATAATTGAACACTACCATTTGCACAACCAGCTATAGCTGCATCACCTTCACGTGATATTGACAATGCTGTTATATAATCTGTTGATGATAATGAATCATTAGTTTGAAAATCAGTAAATTGTTGTTTGACATTTAAAACATGTATTGCATTCTAAAAAGAAGAAATTTAATATTGAAACAAAAGATAAACAAATTAAATAAAATACTTCAGATGCAGAAAAAAGAAAACAACCATCATCTGATATATAAAGATCATTAACAGATGCATCATGTTCTTTTAATGATTGAAGAAGTATACGTGAACGTAAATTATAAACATAAATATAACCATTATTACAACCAACATAACAACACATTGAATCATTTGATATTGAAAGACTTGTTACTTCTGATGTATGTCCTTCGAGATTATGTATATCACTTCCTGTAACAAGAGATTTAACTTGAACAGTTGTATTCTCACATGAAACTATTATAAATATATCATCTGTTGATATCATCATATGTTTTATTGGTGAACCAATTGTATCAATTATATCAAGTAATTGCATTCCATGAAATGTCCATCGTTTAATTGTTTGATCACGTGAAGCTAAAAAAACAAAGTGTATATCTCAAGATAATGAACTTTCCTAGAGCTAATTTTTATATGTTAAGTTATTTTAGATGCTCTGAAAAAATTAACACTAGAGACTTTTATTCAGAAGAGAGTTATCAGTAAAAATGAAAACCTAGCGTAAAAAGGATGTTGACTTTCACTTCATGCATTTTTTGTAATTTTAAAAAACTCTGAATTGAGGTAGTATTTTTGAAAACTAAATAGTTCATTCTATAGAGAACTTCTGAGGTTACAAAATCTCTATATGAAGTTTATTCTGAGCATGCTTAGGTTTTTCAAAAAAATCGATTTACTTGTCGTTAGCGACATGACGAAATATGAAAATAACTGAATGAGAAATTTCAAATCAATTTCAAATGGTACAAATCCTTTTTCAGAGTCTTTAGTTGATGGTAAGACAAAAACAAATTTGTTTAAGATCTCTAGAAAACCAGGGTTTTTAGGGGGAAATATTCCGGAGTCCGATGTTGCTGAAAATATTATCATAGATGCGGTTCCTGCTGTAAAATCTATTCTGAAATTTTCAAAGTTTTTTCTTATGTGGTTAGAGAGATAGTCGTAATTGCTTGTTTAATTAATAGCCAGGTGGAAGAAGCAACATTTTTACGTTACCAGCAATTCGAAATTTTAGTAAAACTTTTTTTACAATGGCTGGATAGAGCTCGTCGAATTATTTATGAATATGTTGTTTCTGACACATTCTGATGGCATATCTGTAGTAAAACTTAGGAAAGTTAGGTTTAGAAAAATAGTTTGTGTAAAGAATCAATATCAAATGAAAGGTAGGTATATTCCATTTTGTCCGAAATAGCCTACATATAGTTTTCTTTAGTTTTATTAATTCAACAACAAACCTGAAATTAATACAGCATCATCTTGTGTAAGTGCAATAGCAGTAACAGCATCTGTATGTTGTTCAATTGAATGTTCAATTTCACCTGTTTCAAGACGAAATACAATAATTAATCGATCACGTGAACCTATAACAATTTGTTCACTATTATGTGAAATTGTCATACAAAGTAATTCATCTTGATGAATTCTAAATAAAAAATCATATTTTCTTGTTGTTGTTTTTTTTGAAAAGACCCTAAGGGATTAGATGATCTATTCACAATTGAGAAAACAAATTTATCATGTTATAGAGTGAGTCAGCCAACTATACATCCAAAGCATGAATAGTTACTAATCATTATGATCCTTGGTATCAATTGAAGGTGTTTTTAAGGTATTTTTCTTGTGTACAGTTTTGTAGAGCTTTTCATAGACTAGAAGTTCATATACTTAATACCTTCGATACGCAAAAATGCGATTTTTCAGTGATTTACCACCGGTTTCTTTTTCTAATAATGAGTCTTCATGTTTTCAATAGTATCGATCATAGGAGATGTGATCAGACGCCAAAAATTATTCACAATTATTTTAACTAAATGTTTTTTCCGCCTAAATTTGATCCGTGAGGAACCACCGAGAAAAATCCAGCAAAAAAATGGACGAGGAAAATACCAGGCAAATTTCACTAGAGAAAATATTTAGTTAAAATATAAGCTATTTAATGTAATTTGTTAAAGAAGAAAATTGATGTAAGAATCGGTTAAGATTTATCAATGCAAGGCTATTTTAGGCATCATACACTCATCATGGGGAGCTTCCAAATAGTGTGTTTTGTAGTACTACATCATGGACAATATTTGCCGTCTGGTCATATCTTCTTTAATCAACACTATGGTAGTAAATCATTGAAAAATCGTATTTTTACCTATCGGAGATGTTGAGTATCTGAGCTTGTAACCTGTGAAAAGCTCTACAAAATTGTACACAAGAATAATATCTTACAGATCCTTTCGACTGATATCAAAAACTATAATGATTAGTAACTGATCATACCTTGAGTGGATAGTTGATTGACTTACTCTACAACACAGTATATTTGATTTCTCAATTCTAAATAAGTTACTTAATCCGACAGGATTCTTTATTTTAAATGTTTACCTATGACTATTTTCTAATTCACCAGAATTTAAATTAAATAATCTAATAGTACGATCTGTTGATGCCGATACTAAATATTTACTATTATGTGTTAATTGAATAGATGTTATTAATGATGTATGACCTAAATAAAACAAAAAACAAATAATTTTATTATATATTTCTATTTTAATGTAATCATACCAGTAAATTTTTTAACAAGTTTTTTTGATGGTATATGATACATAGCTATTTCATTTGAACGTGTTGTAGAAAAAATATGTTGATTAAATGTTGTTGGTATTATTTTGAATGCTCCATCAGCACATGGTAATATAGTTATAATTAATGGTGGAATTGTTGATATCCATGATGATAATGGAACAAATATTGGTATATTACATGATTCACACCAATTATGTGCTTGAACAAATAATAATTCAATATGTTCATTATAATGATTTTTAATATTTCTTAAACGTAAAATTAATTCACCAGCAAGTAAAATAGGATCATTTATAACAATATTAACAATATTTTTTAATATTGTTTGAACCATAAGAACATCAGCATCAAGAATATTACTACAAATTATATCGATTTCCCATAATAATTGTTCAATAGATAAACCATGAATTTTCGCTAATAAATATTCAAAACAGCATAATGTATATTCTTTTAAACGATCAATATCACCTTAAAAAAGAAAACAAAATAGAGAATAACAATTAGATTTATTATGAAGATTTGATTTAAAAAAGCAAAAATGATTACCAGAATGCATTAATTGATACCATAATTCACCTAATCGTCGATAATTATAAGCTGTTTCAGAATAGAGAAGTGGCTGTTGTAAGATAAAACGACGACCATTATCTCCTCTGTAAATAAAAAGTTTTAACGAAATTCAATTAACATGATATCAGAGATAATAAATCAGTAAAGTTTATTTCAATTCAGATTGTTACTCATAGATTTAAACAGTCATTAGTATTCTTTTTGCAATATTAATGAATACTCTTCAGTTTAAATGGTAGAATAAAGGAAAGCATCTACTACAGGTTCTTTTTTCCAAGATTATTTGTAGTTTTGAGAACTTCTTATTTAAAGGATAAAGTAAAGTTGAACAAGTTTTGTTGTTTCTAAACGAATGAAAATATGAAAGTATCGTTAAAAAGTTAGAACTGATAGTTTTAAAAGAGATATTGAAAATTTACTAGAAGAGACTTGATGATTAAATTAATATTCTTATATGTTCTGTGTGTAATCTTGTCAATCTGTTTTTTTCGTAAAACTATAGATTGCATTTTTGAAAAAATATTCCACTGGAGTAAAGAATGTCTAGAAAACCAATCTGAATCGATAATGACCTATTTTCGGATTATCAATCAGAGGCCAAAACAGGGTTTTAGAGGAATTTCTGAAGGTTCCCTGTGTTGAAGTTTCATAATGTGAATTTGCCTATAGAGAAAATATATATTCATCGGAAAACCGAAATGCTTATAATAAACGTCTTTGCCTTATCAAGTTTTACGTAAGAAAATTAAAAAGTTAGTGCTACTTAAAAATCTATTCATGAAAAAAAGCATTCCATTGATCTATTTATAGCAAATGTTTGATGCAATGTTTCAGGCTTTTAATCAACTGTTGAGGTATCTTTTGATGTCCAGCAAGTGATATGAAGTACATATTCTTGGTTATTACACTAGCCAACATATTGTATCTGAATGTCTCATCTACTTTGAACATCGCTAACAAGGAAACTTCTTCAAGTGTCAATTTCACTTTTCGATTGAGATTAATGTTCATTTTATGAGTGTTAGTGAGTAATAGAAAAGTTTAAAGTTATTTGGTTTTCTGAGTCTTCGTTCACAAGATGGATTTTTCAACAAAACGCTGTAGTCCCTATTAGATCACGTGAAAAATTGATTTTCGACTTCAAACTTTGTACGAACAAAGTTCTTAATGATATTTGCCGATTATGCAAGTAATAGTTCCTTTCTGGACATGTAAATATATGAACAATATTTGCTTTTACACATGACAAAATTTCGAATATTGAATATCTCAGGATACAACATTCTAGAAAAGTTACATCTTGTCCAATGAACTAATCGCATTAAGAACCTTTGTTCGTACAAAGTTCAAAGTCGAAATTCGAAAGTTAATTTTTCTACGAGGTCTGAGAGAGACCACAGCTTTTTGTTGAAAAATCTTCTCAAAAATGAAGGTTCAGAAAACCAAACCATTTTAAACTTTCCTATTACTCATCAAATGAACATCGTCTCGGCCGAAAGGCGAATTAGCATATAAAGAAGTGTCCTTGTAAGTTAATAAAAATATTTCTTGCGCGGCGTTCACACTGTGTCATAATGAAACTTCATACGACTTGTCAATAAGAATGCTTCTATGTTTAATAAATTTTTCTTTTATAAGTCAAAAACTTTAGTACAAGTATAGATAGCATCAATCGGTTCTGCAGAAAACATTATCCGCTAGATGATGGTTCACCTCTGGTACAACAGACGGTGAGCATCGTTTGATTTTTGTATTGATATCTTCAGTCATAATATCAAACCAAAGACGTACACAACTACTGAATATCTACAAAAATTTCAGGGCATTATGAACGAGTGTAATCATAGTAATAACCAAGAATGTATATGCCGTACCTCTTGTTAGACATGAAAGATTGTCTCAGGAGTTGATTAAAAGTATGAAACTTCATATCAAACATCATGACAATGACCTTGAACCTTTTCTCTAGACAAATCAATGGAATGCCTTTTTCATTAATAAATTTGTCAAGTTACACGACTTTTTTGGCATTCATAATTATCTTGGCAACAATCTCAAATTAATCGGATGAACAACTGCTTATCACCAATTCAAAACAGAATAGAACAAAAAATAAATAAGTGTTCATTAACTAGAGACTATTGATATTTGTGCAACATAATGTTTAATTTTATATCTTCCGGAGGAGAAAGCATTTTAGAAAAAAAAAAAACTACATACGAAATTTTCTTTTTCTCATTATTATCAGAATTTTTGAATAATAATATTAACATATAATACCTGACTTGAATATTTCGATTCATATCGACTAATGGTTTTGTTTCAATAAAAGCTTCAAGAAAATAATTTGAAATATCTCGATGTGCAAAACGAATATCTTCGACTTTTTTTAAATATTTTTGTTTCATAAATCGTCGAATAAATGAATGACTCCAACAAATAACAATTTTTAAATCAAAATATCTTACAGATAAAAGTGGACCTAAACAAATATATATATATAGAGAGAGATCAAATGAAATAAAAAGATTTATTTCTATTTTTTTTTTACCTAATGCATATTTAAAAGCAATCCATAATGATGATGGAAAACGTAAATGTTTTGGTAAATCTTTTTGAAAATATTCCAAAAAAAAATCATTATTACATGATAATATATCAAGTAGCTCAAGTTCATGAATTGCTGATTGTGATGAACTTATATAATTAAATATAAAAGCACAAATTTTTGAACCAAATTTTCTTTCACAATGATCTTTAGAAAAACAAAAGCAAAAATTATATTTTCTTTTATTATTAATAAAAACAAAATACGCTTTTACCAATATATGTATTGAGTATTTCTTCCATATTTAATTCTGTTAAATCTAATTTTTTTTTACGTTGAGATAAATAACTAAAATAACTTTCATTTAATACAAGACGTAGAAGAAAAAATATTTGAGGTTGTTTATCTATTTGTTTATATATACATTTTGAAAGAGCTTGTAATACAGAATCTGTTACATTTCGTTTTATTAATTTTAATTCTGATTTAATATATAAACTTAAATCAGACATATTAATTGTTTCATTTGTAAATGGTAATTCAATAATACATTCATCTTTTTCAATTCGTTCAATCATTTCACGTATTTGAATATCACTATGAGGATATGAATGAATATTCCGACTAACAGATAATATTACATAGACCTAAAGCAAAATTTTTATAAAATAGATTTTTTAGTTATTTATCAAAGTTTATTTTTCTTTTGAAAATTTTTATTAAACGAATGAATTAATTATCATTGAAAATGCTAAGAAAAAATAAAATCTATATAAAATTGAAAGTTCTAATCAGAAAATTAATCCGTATAAGATTAAAAATTATTCCACCACACTCATCTTTTATCATATAAAACAATTAAAAGACTAAGGCTTTGAATGACCTGTAACGTTTCCGACTGACAAAAAAAATGTTGAAAAAGATATTCATGCACCCTGGGTACGCCAGAGGTTCATTAGAAAAAGCTATGACATTCTTTTTTGTACTATATCGCTGTTTAATTCATCGTTAATCATAGGATTGTCAACGCTAAAATTTGTCTTTCATTATGATATAGATACCTACACATTTTAATTATGTAATGTAGATGTTGTTGGTACTCAAGACTTCTATATTTTAACTCATCATTTGGGTATATATTAATAATATTCATTAGAGTTAGTGAGTTGGTATTATTCTAGAAAATAGATCTGTATAATCTAAGATTCACAAACATCTCAAATGAACTTGTTAAAGTCGAAATTTGACATGTTGTTAATTTAATCATTTGATACGTTCGAAAAAATAAATAAATCGAGTTTATATTATTCAAATTATTTGTTGGACAAGAAAATGAATAGATCAATTTTCATGTACTCTAAGAAGTTACTCAATATGCATAAAATAATTCAACAATGTAAATGAAAAATCTTTGAACAAAATATCATGACTATTTTTTTGAGCTTGTCACCTGATGAAAAGACAAAATCTTCTTTTCTTCTTGTCTGCCTAATCCTACTACGTAATATTTAATATTTTAACTATAACAAAGATTATAAGTCATTTAGATAATCAAAAAAAGAAAAGAAAAGAAAACGAATAAATACTTTAGGTGGGAGTGTTTGAAGTAATGTTTGATAATAAACAACTGATGATGCAAATTGACTTGGTGGTGTTGCTTCTTCAATACCATCAATCATAATTATAACGGGTTTTTGATTATTTGATAAAGTTTTTAAAGCCATTTGATAATATTCAATATAATTAAATTTTTGATCATTAATAAATGTTGGTGCATTTTGTAATGTTTGCATTTGTGTACATATTGAAGTAAATAATTCTGTAATATTTCGTGATCTTGATGTTAAATTAAAATAACGTAATATACATTGAACATTTTTTCCTAATGTATTCAATAGATAATGAACTAATTTTGTACATAATAAAGTTTTTCCAGATGCTCGACTACCAATAATTATTAATGGATGATGTTCATCTGTATTAGCTAATGATAACCATTGTTTAAATGAATGATTATTTTCAATAAAATTTTCAAAACCTAAACATGTATATGATGATAATTTTGAATAATTTGTTGCATGTATAAGTGTTTCATTATATAAAATTTTTTCATCATATTTTAAATGATGTGATATTGATAAATCAATATGACGTTCACATAATGATTTAATACGTAAAAATATAGCTGCATTTAATGCACGTAAATAACGTTGATAATCTGTATCATCTAATTGAAATTCTCCATTTTCTTTCCATGATATATTAAATCCTATTCGATTATCTTCAATTTTAAAATTATTATCATCATCATTTATTGATAATTTTTGTGTTATAGATTCACGAAAACGTTTTAATTTTTCTTGACGATGTTTATCCAAACGATTACTACCACTAAGTAAATCGATATATGCTTCATTTCCTTTACTTTTTTCATTAAAACCTAAAAACAAAATAATACTTCGGAATTATTATATATTTATAAAAAATTTTGCAATGATTTTAAATCATTGAAAGTTCATGATTGTGTGACAATGTTATTAACAATTAAGAAAAAATCGAAAGAAACCTACGAGGAAACATCTCTAACTGTCGGACGCCATTCGACTTCTTTTTATAGCTACGAGTAGGTCTCGATGAGAATGAATCAAGTTAAAAAAGGTTCGGACTTATGACTGTTTTAATAATATTTTTATTGAGGTATTGCCCAAAAATCCAAAACAAAGAGTTTCGAACTGAAATTTCGCATTGAAACTTTCAGGACAATCAGACGTGACTATAGATAAAATTTCATGTTGAAATTTTTTATTTTGAATCTTTCGGCAATGGCTTACTCTGAGTAAAAATTTCATTACAACAGCCATAAGCTCAAATCCTTTTGAGCTTGATTTAGTCTCATTGAGACTTAATTGTAGTCATAATATGAAACCCAATGGTGTTCCAACAGTTGAGTTTTTATATTAAATCTTAAAACTTTTGTCACATTTCTTTTCTTTTCATATCGATTATACAGAATTTTTCTTAATGTATAGAATTAATGGAAATAGTAGAGACATTTACAGCACATGAACAAGTATAGTAAACTAGTTCTAAATATAGAAAAGTTTGTCATCATTTAAAAGACTCTCTTTTCTGACATTTTAGGACAATGGCTCATTAGAAAATTTTAAGTTTTAGAATAAAGGCTGTCATAATCTGAAATCTTCCAGACGCTTTCTTGTAGGAGATATAGGAATCGCCAGACATTGTTTTTTCTAAATATTAGATACTGTTTAGGTTGCCTACTCTTTTAGTTCAAATAGATACACCAAAATCCTGGAAGTATGCTCAAAAATGCATGTGTTTTAACTAAAGATTTTTTTTTGTAAGCTCTGCCAAAACCAGAGGTACATTAAATTTGGAAACAAAAAAAATTAGGCTTCGTAAATGCTTTCTCGTGTAAGTACATGAAAGTTTCAGTTTGATCAGACATATTGTGGTTGAGAAATAGGGGCAAGTCT